TCTGGGAGCCTTTTTTTTTTTTTTTCTTTTCCAATGCCTTCAATGCAGCTTGGATTTCTTTTTTCAATACTATTTATATTTGATTATATTCTACCTCCTGAAATATATGAACATCAACCAGTTCTTTGTGATGCAGTGGACTCTGTGTATCCCTTTCATTTTCTTTTGATGCTTCCTGCATCATTCAATATTGTTTCCAAAGAAACCTTCAGTATTCCAACTTAAGGCTTGGAATTTCTCCTCAGTTCTTTCAGCTTGAAAAATGCTGAGCATGTTCTTCCCTTTTGGCTTTCTAATTCCAGGTCTTTGCACATTTTATTATACTACTTTGTTTTGCCGTCTTGATTCACCCTTTAAAATCTTCTGTTAAGCTCTTTTATCTCATAATTTTCCCATTTGATTTAGCTACTCTATGTTCAAGAGCAAGTTTCAGAGTCTCTTCTGACATCCATTTTGGTCTTTTCTCTCTTCCTAATCTTTTCAGTGACTTTTTGCTTTCTTCATGTGTGATGTCCTTGATATCATCCCAGAACTTGCCTGGTCTTTTGGTCATTAGTGTTCAGTACGTCTAATCTGTTATTGAGGTGGTCTCTAAAATCATAAGTAGATATAATCAAGGTTGTATTTGGGTCTCGTGGACATGTTTTAATTTTCTTCTGCTTCAACTTTAACTGGTGTATGAACAGTTTGTGATCTGTTCTGCAGGTGGCTCCTGGCCTTGTTCTGACTGATGATATTTGGGTTCTCCATCTTCTCTTTCCACAGATGTGGTAAATTTGATCACCACATATTCCCTATTGTGAGGTCTACATGTAAAGTCATAGTTTATATTGTTGGGAAAAAAGATATTTCCAATGAATAAACTACTGGTCTTGCAAAGCTCTATTATGTGATTTCCATTGTCACTTCTATCACTAAGGTCATATTTCCAACTAATAGATCTTCCTTGTTTCCAACTTTTTCATTCCATGTTTGATCAATCAGACTATAGAAGTTGGTAAAATTCTTCAGTTTCTTCATCTTTCATCCTAGTGGTTGCTACATAAATCTGAATAATAATCATATTAACTGGCCTTCCTTTTAGGCAAAAAAAAAAAATTTTTTTATACCAGCTAATAATGGTAGCTGTATTTATTATTTACTCAGTATCAGGTACTGAACGTGTTGTTGCAGAGTCAAATCCGACTCATAGTGACCCCTCCATGGGTTTCCAAGGCAGTATCACTACAGAAGTAGATTGCCCACGTCATTATGTTCGACTCTACTTTGAGGAGACAGCTCTTTTGTAGATGCATTTTGAGTGCCAGCCAAACTTAAGCTTCCTCTTCCAGCATCATATCATTCAGTGTTCCACTACTGTTCATAAGGTTTTCACTGGCCAGTTTTTTTCAGAAATGTATTGGCAGGTCCTTCTTCTTACTCTGTCTTAGTCTGGAAGCTCTTCTGAAACCTGTCCACCATGAGTGATACTACTGATATTTGAAATTCCAGTGGCATAACTTCCAGCATCACAACACACAGGCTACTAGAGTATGACAGACTGACAGATGAGGGGTAGAGAATTAGATTGTCAGGTCTTTATTAAAAGACAGTATAAAAATAGATTGCCAAGTTTTTATTTGAATTGCCTCTGAGGAGACTCTAACTGCCAGTCTTTTGATTAGCAGCCCAGCATTTTAACCTTTTGCACCACACAGCAAACATGCAATCCTGGTAATATTGTCAAACTAAACCTGAATTTTCTCTTCTATAAAATAGAATTATAAAATTCCCTACTTAATAAGATTGTTTTGAAGATTAAATAAGAAATACATGTAAGCATGTAGCACAGTGCCTGCCATGTGTAATGCTAAATAAACATTGTTGTTGTTGTTGTTAGGGGCCATCGAGTTGGCTCTGACCCATAGTGACCCTAGTACAACCAAATAAAATACTGTCAAGTCCTGTGTGAGCCTCACAATCCTTGCTATACTGAGCCCATTGGTGCAGCCACTGTGTCAATCCATCTCGTTGAGGGCCTTGACCTTTTTCACTGATCCTCCACTTTACCAAGCATGATATCCTTCTCCATGGAATGGTCCCCTCTGACCATATGCCCAAAGTAGGTGAGACGAAGCCTGGCCATTCTCACTTCCAAGGAGCATTCCAGCTGCATTTCTACCAGGATAGCTTTGTTCATTCTTCTGGCAGTCCATGGTATTTTCAGTATTGTTCAACAACACCACAATCCAAAAGCGTCAACTCTTCTTCATCTTCCTTATTCATTGTCCAGCTTTCACATGCATATGAGGTAATTGAAAACACCATGTTTTCTTGGGTTAGGCACATCTTAGCCTTCAAAGTGACATCTTTGCTCTTCAGCACTTTAAAGAGATCATTTGCAGCAGGTTTGCCCAGTGCAATACATCATCTCATTTCTTCACTGCTACTTCCATAGGTGTTGATTGTGGAACCAAGCAATATGAAATATTTGACAGCTTCAATCTTTTTTTCCATATTTCATGATGCTGCTTATTATTCCAATTGTGAGGAGTTTTGTTTTCTTTTTGTTGAGGTGTAATCCATACTGCAAACTGTAGTCTTTGATCTTCATCAGTAAGTGCTTCAAGTCATCTTTATTTTCAGTAAGCAAGGTTTTGTCATCTGTATATCTCAGGTTGTTAATGAGTCTTCCTCCAATCCTGATACCACATTTCTCTTTATATAATCCAGTTTCTTGGATTATTTGCTCAGCATACAGATTGAATAGGCATGTGAGAGGATACATCCCTGATGCACTCCCTTCCTGATTTTAAACTATGCAATATCCCCTTGTTCTGTTCAGATGGACAGCCTCTTGCTCTGTGTATAGGTTCCTCATGAGCACAATTGAGTGTTCTAGAATTCCCATTCTTCTCAATGTTACCCATTATTTGTTATGGTCAACACAGTCAAATGCATTTGCATAGACAATAAAAAGAAGTAAACTTCATTCTGGCATTCTTTGCTTTCAGCCAAGATCCATCTGACATCAACAATAATATCCCTTGTTTCACATTCTCTTCTGAATGCAGCTTGCATTTCTGGAAGTTCTCTGTCAATATACTGCTGCAACCAGTTATGAATTATCTTCAACAAGATTTTACTTGCATGTGATATTAATGATATGGTTCAATAATTTCCACAGACTGTTGGATCACCTTTCTTTGGAATGGGCACGAATATGGATCTCTTCCAGTCAGTTGGCCAGGTAGCTGTCATCCAGATTTCTTGGCAAAGACGAGTAAGTGCCCCCAGTGCAGCACTCATTTGTTTAAACATCTCAACGTCAACTCCTGGAGCCTTGTTTTTTGCCAGTTCCTTCAGTGAAGCTCTGACTTTCTCCTTCAGTACCATTGGTTCTTGGTCATATACCACCTCCTGAAATAGATGAACATCGACCAATTCTTTTTGGTACAGTTACTCTGTATATTCCTTTCATCTTCTTTTGATGCTTCCTGCGTCAGTCAATCTTTTGCCCATAGAATCCTTCGATATTGCAACTCAAGACTTGAATTTTTTCTTCATTTCTTTCAGCTTGAGAAATGCCAAGCATGGTTTACTTTTGGTTTACTAACTCCAGGTTTTTGCACATTTCTTTATAATAACTGACTCTGTCTTCTCTAGCTGCTCTTTGAAATCTTCTGTTCAGCTCTTTTATCTTGTCATAGCTTCCATTTGCTTTAGCAGTTGATGGTCTGTTCCTCAGTCAGCTCCTGGCCTTGTTTTGGCTGAAGATGTTGAGCTTCTCCTTTGCCTCTTCCCACAGGTGTTGTCAATCTGATTCCTGTATATTCCATCTGGTGAAGTGCACATGTATAGCTGCCATTTATGTTGTTGAAAAATGGTATTTGCATTGAAAAAGTGTTGATCTTGCAAAATTCTGTTTTGTGATCTCCAACATCATTTCTATCACCAAGGCCATATTTTCCAACTACTGGTTATTCTTCTTTGTTTCCAACTTTTACATTCCAATCACCAGTAATAATTACCACAGCTTGATTGCATGTTTGGTCCATTTCAGAATGCAGAAGTTGGTAAAAATCTTCGATTTCCTTTTCTTTGGCTTTGGTGGTTGGTAAGTAATTTTGAAATAATAATAGTATTAACTGGTTTTCCCTATTGGCATATGGATATTATCCTATAACTGACAGCATTGTACTGCAGGATAGATCTTGAGACTTTTTTTGTGGTGATGAATACCATGTCTTTCTTCTTCAATTTGTCATTACTGGCATAGTAGATCATATGGTTGTCCAATTCATAATGTCCAAAAACAGTCCATTTCGGCTCACTAATGCCTAGAATATTGATTTTTGTGTTCTATTTCAGTTTTGACAACTTTAGATTTCCTGCATTCATGCTTCATACATTCCATGTTCTGATTATTAATGTATGTTTGCAGCTGTTTCTTCCCATTTTGAGTCATGCTTCATCAGCAAATAGAGGTCCCAAAGTAAACATTAGTTAATATGATTGTTATTAATAATTATTAGTCTTTTATACTGTCTGAAAGCATGTATTTGTTGTTGTTAGTTGCAGCTGAGTTGATTCTGACTCATGGCAACTCCATGTGTGCAGACTAGAACTGTTCCATAGGGTTTTCTAGGCTGTTACCTTTCAGATGCAGATTGCCAGGCTTATTTTCCAAGGCACCTGTCAGTGGATTTGAACCACCGACCTTTTGACTAGTAGTCAAGCACTTAACCATTTGTGTTACCCAGGGACTAAACATGTATCATCCTTGTCAATCCCTCTCTCTAGCAAATGACCATCTAAAATTAATGCTGAATCTGAGATCACTTAGAGATTGCTTCATTCCTAGTGTAAGTCCTCTCCAGCACATATTGGCCATATTCGACATCATTGGCCATATTCCATGGTTTCTCCCCCTTTAATAGTAAAGCATAAGATGTACATAAAATTTTTGAAAATGTGTTATGGTTTGTGCTCTGTATTTATGAATGGCTTTTATTCTTCAGGTCAGCTTCTTGAAGCTGCCGAGCATTATGAAGCATTCCATCAACTGACGCAAGGGCGGATATGGAAGGATGAGACAGGCCGTTTTCTCAACTTGTTGGCCTGTGAGAGTCTCCTGAGGACTTACAGATTACTCTCAGACAAAATGCTCAAAAATAAAAAGTACAAAAAGGCCATCAAAATTCTAATAAAAGCTTCTGAAATAGCCAGAGAAGGTAGGTGGAAAAGAAAATTCACATTGTTTTCTTTAATACGCAGACACTGGTTCTCCCTGGAGTAAAGTAAAGATCATCAAGTGTTTGGGTGATTATTTGCTATGAAATGCAAAAATAAATGCCATCAATATACTTCCAAATTTCATGTAAAACAGAGGTGCCTGAGTGCTGATAACAGGATATCTATTAGATTCTTGAAAGCTTTATCTCCAAATTGCAGTCCTCTAGGAGTTGTGTTATAAAACAACAAACCCATAATGAGAAGTTTAAGGTCATGTTTGAAAGTTAAGGGAGGGGGGTTGGAAGTACTTTTTTTGTTTTTTTTAGGTTATTTCTGTCTTAGAGTCTGAGAGACCATCCAGTGTTTGTAAATTCATTATTTTGAGGTTAATAGAGAAATCATGATAAATATTTAGTTAGGAGTAATAGGAAAATAACAATCAAAACCTATTGCCCTTGAGTTGATTTAGAATCATAGCGACTCTATAAGACAGAGCAGAAACTTCCCCGTAGTATTTGTAAAGTATTATAACTCTACAGAGGCAGACTACTATATCTTTTTCCCATGGAGCAGCTGATGGGTTTGAGCTACCAACCTTGCAGTTAGCACCCTAGCACTTCACCAGTATGCCACCAGAGCTCCTTTGCAGGAAAATAAAACTCACTGCATCTCATAGCAAGTTCCATTGGGTTTCCAAGGTGGTAAATCTTTACAGAAGTAGATTGTCCCATCTTCCCTCTATGGAGCAGCTGGTGGGCTTGAACCCACAACTTTCTGGCTAGCAGTCCAGTGCCTTAGGCATTGTGCTACCAGGGCTTCTTTTTAACAGGAAAATAAGACTTTAATATATTTTAGAACCTCGTCTCTTAAAGGAGCTCTGTGGACTTGTTTTTTCATTTATCTGCTGATGTACATTTTAGTTGTTTCTACATTTTGGCTATTATAAATAATGCTACTATAAACAATTTGTGTACAAATTTTTGGGTGCACATATGCTTTCATTCTTTGGGGTGTACATATAGAAGTGGAATTTCTGAATGTATGTTAACTCTATGTAAACTCATTGAGGAACTGCTAAACAGTTTTTCAAAAGTGGTGGGCCCATTTTATTACTCCACCAGCAATGTGTAAGGAGTTTTGGTGGTGCAGTGCTTAAGGCAATTTGACTGCTAACCAGAACATTAACCAGCCACTCTGAAGAAGGAAGATGAGGCAATCTACTTCTGTAAAGATTTACTGCCTGGAAACCCAAGAGTGTTGCTGTGAGTTGAAATCAACTCAATGGCAGTAGGTCTTACCAGCAATGTATAAGGGCTTCCATTTAGCTACTTCCTTGTTGACACTTGTTATTGTCTGTCATTTTCATTATAGCCATCATGTTATTGTTGTTATTGGGTGCCATCAAGTCAATTTTGACTCATAGTAAACCCAAAATCCTTCTACCTTAATATCTTTCTTCCTACCAGGAATAGTTGATTTTCCTTTCTCTCTTCTTCTTTTCTGAGCTGAGAGTACTGTTATGAGGCCAAACATTTGGCCAGTTGCCCTCCTCAAACTAAGGGGCTTTACACTATTTAACTCAGCAAGCACAAACTACATGTAATCAACTTTTAATTATCTAAGAGACCACTTCCCTTCAAAACACCTTTCTTCTACCCCATCTTTGCTTCCCCTAGTCGCACCCCTATCCCCAGCACACATAAACCTGTATCAGAGAAAAAATTAGGACTCAGTTGAACTATAAAAGTTAAAATTCCCCAGACTGAATCATTGTTACCATCAACTCTGCTGAACTAAGACCTTCAGGGTATAATTCTCTACAACTGGTAAAATAGCTAGAAGAGGAAAAAAAAAAAAAATGCTGTCACTGGCATTTGCCATTGTTTTCTTGCTGTCTTCCAATTGAGCCAGATGTCACAAGGGGTAATTCAGTAAGTGGTGAGAGTGAGTGCAGCAGGGAGAATTGTTAGCTCCTGCTGAAATCCATCACTGTTGGAAGGCAGGGTTCAGAAATCTAAGGATACTTACTTTCCAAAGACCAAAAACAACAGTGGATCTGTCATCACATGCTTTACCAGGAGTTAGGTGATATTGGAAGTCAATAGTATTTTTTTTTTTTTAAGTGAGAACTTTTCATGGCTCTTGTAAATAAATCATATATTTTTAAAATGGCGTGATATATATCTTGTTCACCTGCACGTTGCACCTTTACATGTTTTTCTTTTGGAAAAGGGAATTGGATAATTCCTAGAATAAAATACATTTCATAAGAATTAGAAAGATTCAAAGTGTATTTGTATGTGAACTGCTATATGGAAACTGAATTTGCTCTGTAAACTTTCACCCAAATCACTAAAAAAAAAAAAAAAAAAAGTATTAGAAAGACTGAATTCTATGCAAAAAAAAAAATGATGTGAAACATTACTAGTCATTAACAAAGAAAAGCTTATTTGGAGTTCAAAACATGCATGGAATTTCATCACAAGCAGCAAAATTCTGTCAGTTATCCTCAACTAAACTTAAACCAATAGTTTTTAAATTGAATGTAATCAAAACAGTAATTCCTTCATTTACCCCATCGTAGATTTAGCTGAATTTCAGTCCATGCATATGTGTGTATGTGTATTTGTATGTGTTCCCTTATAGGGTTGATATCCTTTACCTAGTGTTCCATATATGTAGTAGCAGCCATGCTGAATCATTGTATGTCTTTCCACGGTGGAAAAGTATAGAAATTATATATGATTGCCAATAATGGCAATACTGGGCTGTGTATGTTGAGATTAACCTCTTAGTCTAGCATCTCTGATCCAGGTAAATGTTCTTTTCATCCATCTTTTTTTCAGTACAGTTAAATTTCAGCAATTGTTGCTGTATTTGTATATGTGTCATAATAAAGTTCTACTTATCTGAAAAAGCTCAGATTCCATGTGTTGGACTAAACCAATTTCTTCAATGCATAGTAATTTCTTTATATATTCTCTTTAGGAAATGACAAAAAGATGGAAGGAGAAGCTTCTTATTACTTGGGCTTAGCATACTTGGCTGCTGGAGAGCATAAAACAGCATTACAAGTAAGTCAATGATTAATGTAAACTTTTAATCATTGCCATTTTTATTTTATTATTTTATTGCAACCAACATAAATGGGGTGGATCTCATGTCAGTGTGAATACTAACAGAGATGAAAGAAAAATAGCGATGTGCTAGAGGCATTTTAAAGGGGTTTTATTGTTTATAGTCAATTATCATGAAGTGCTTTAAGATATAAGAAAATTAAATATATGGAGTAATGTGACCCTTTACCCTCTTATATCATCAAGGAAAAGAAGAAATATGTTTAAATCATAGTGTTTTGGTTACCTGGTGCCACTCTGACAGGAATATATACCACAAATGGGATGGCCTTAACAGTTTATTCTCTTACAGTTTGGAGGCTTTAAGTCCAAGTTCAAAGTGCCAGACTCTAGGGGTTCAAAGTGCCAGCCCCTCAACCTTGGGGTCTAGCTCTGCCTCCTGCTCCTGGCCCACTGGAGCTAGAGGCATTTCTTCACTCAGACAGCTGCTGGCTGCTGAGGCTGACAAACCCAAAGTTAACAAGTAAAAAGGCACAGACCCAATGTTACCAAAACATATGGCAGGCCATTAATTTAAGTCCATTGTAAGTCCCAAGGTTAGCAGAGCATGGCAGGCTGCTGAACAATGACGTGGCTACATGCGGGGTCCAAGTGTGCCATAGGCTAGAGACCATTCCTCAAGGCTTCTGCTTATATACAGGAAGCAGACCACATTCCCTAAGGCAGCTACTCAGCTGCTCACAGTAGATTCCACCATGGAGTTATTACCAGTCTCACCATGGGAAATACTACATCCAGCTACCCAGCCACTCAACCAGGCCCAGCCAAGTTGACACACAACTGAACTACCACACATAGCAAAAAGTAAATAGTGTAAAAAGATTATAGTAACTTCAGAATGCGACTTAGGAAAATTTGTTAAGAAAATTAACATTTCCCCACACCCCTAAGGACTTACAGATTACTCTCAGACAAAATGCTCGAAAATAAAATGTGGTTATTAAACATCAGTGTGCTACATTGATGTAGAGCTGTGGTGGTATATGAAGGACAGCAGGCATGGGGGGAGTTGATTGTGCCAATATGAAAATTATCCTGCTTCGTGATCACACCAGTATCTGTCTATTTTGTGACCAGGGTTTGTTTGTTTGGCTAAAACACAAATAGGGTCAATGGGGAGGGGGCTGTCAAGATCTATCCTTTTTGTATTATAACATCATTTTATAATATTATAATATGTATAATTTTTCTTTTACAATATAGTGAAAAATGTGTCTTCTTATACACCAGTGTTCATTGAAGCACTATTCACAATAGCCAAAAGATGGATGAATAAGCAAAATGTGCTATATACATACATGGAGTATTACACAGCCATAAAGAGAAATGAACTCCTGATGCAGGCTAGGCTCTGGATGAACCTGGAAAACATTATGCTGGGTGAAATAAGTTAGTCACAAAAAAAAAAAAAAATATTGTATGAGACTACTTATATGAAATATCTAGAATAGGCAAGCATATAGAGACCAAAATATATTAGTGGTTAGAAGATGCATACAGAGAGGAAAAGAGACAGTCTCATTGCTTATGGAACATTTCTGTTAAGGGTGAGTGAAAATTTTTGTAATAACTACACAACTTGATGAAAGTAATTAATGTCACTGAATTAAGCATGCAAAAAATTTGAAGATTGAAAATATTTCGTTACATGTGTATTTACCACAATTTAAAAAAGAAAGGTTAGGGAGAAACAATTTGAGCTTCAGATGCTAGTGGTTCGAACCCACTCAGCAGTACCATGGAAGAAAGGCCTGGCAATTTGCTGTAGCAAAGATTACAGCCAAGAAAACCCTTTGGATCAATGCTACTCTAGAACACATGGGGTCATCATGAATCACACTTAACCTAATGACAATGAGTTAAAAAAACAGTCTTTCTATTTCATTTCACATACGTCTCTTACAATCATCCTACTTAATAGGCAATATTGGCTTAATTTTTAGCTTTGAGAATTTCTTATTTGATTTTTTAATAATCATGATAAATAGGATTCCTGTATTTGGGCTAGATATTTTTCTCATGCACAGTTAAAATTGGCCATCCTAGGAAGTTTAGGATTTCCTGGATGATTCTGTGCTTTATATATTTTAGTGAATTATGTTCATTCAGAAAAGTTCCGTTTCAGATGCTTTGGGAAACAGAGCCCTTTCATCAAGGAGCTAACTAAGGAGGGCACCCAGCTTGTCAACAGTTAACTGTAATTCAGAGCAAGATGAACTAGAGGTTCCATGAGTGCAGAGGTAAGAGTACTTAATTCCAACACTAATATTCAAGGGTGTTGCACGGAAAAGATTTTGAGCGGAGCTTTGAAGAAAGGAGTAGGAGTTCTACAAGCAGAAAACAAGAGTCCAGGATGATGCAACACATAATCCCATCAAAACACACATGCATAGTGCAGTGTAGTAAATGACATGGTATGGTTTTTCTAGACATACTTTTTGTAATTCCCACCAGATTACTGGGTGGGACCATACAGTTTAAACACCTGATTTTTAAAGTCTAGGGTATTTCTGTTGGAGCAGCACAAAGTAATCTTCTGGGAAAGTTTGCTCTCTCTCTCAGGTGTGTAGAATTCTGATGTTGGGTTTGGTTGGTTTTCTACTCTACCAGGCTCAAAATGAACTCTCTTAGAGGCAGGGGGAGTCTGACTGTCAACTGAGAAACTTACTGCAGAGAAAAAGACGCACTGCTGAGAAAAACTCCCTCCTGAGAGATGGCGGCAGTGGAATCAAGAGACATGAGACAGAGTGGCATGCTTTCCTGGTCCACAGGGGCAGAGGCCAGGCCCAGAAGCCAAAGGCCAAAGAGTCATGTGTAAGGACACAGCAGAGGAGAGACTGTCCTGATCGAAGAACTGTACCCTGTGTGCATTCCTAAACTTGAATTGTAGCCTGTTGCTTCCCTAATAAACCCCATAATCTGTGAGTTCTGTATGGCCACTGCAGCAAATTATCAAACCCAGCAGAGAGGTGGTGGGTGCCACAGGAGGGACTGTTGGTATCAAGGTTGGTAAGAGGGCTGGAGGGTGATGGCAGGTCTGGCCTCATAGGAACAGGCTTTGGGTTGCTAATGGTGATTTTGTCTTCCTCTTGCAGAGTTAGAGGAGGTCAGAAGATGCTGCCTCCATGCTCTTTAGCAGTTGGTATCAGGAGCGGGATTCACTGGAGTGCCCCAGACTCATAGAAGCATAGGATTTTGTAAAAGAAAGAAGGAAGGGGTCTGGGAAGTAAAACTTTGAATTCTTAGATGGTTACTTTGGTTGGTGTTACCTGTAATGGTGGAATAGTGCCTAAGGCACTTGGCTGCTAACCAGAAGGCTGGTGGTTCAAACCCACTAGCCACTCCTCAGAAGGAAGATTGAGCAATCTACTTCTGTAGTGATACTGCCTTGGAAACCCAAGGAGGGGTTGCTATGAGTCGGGTCTGACTCGATGGCAAACAACAACAACAACATGCTGCAGCTGAGGGGAGAAAGCCTGAGGCAAAAGCCAGGCCAATTAAAGGAGATAATTGATTGGCAAAGAATACTGAAAGTACCATGGACTGCCAGAACTATCAGATCTGTCCTGGAAGAAGTGCAGCCGAAATGCTCTTTGGAATAGAGAATGACCAGACTTCATCTCACCTGTTTTGGTCATGTTTTCAGAAGGGACCATGATGTCCTTCACCAACACCACAACTCAAAAGCATCAACTCTTCTTCCGTCTTCCCTACTCATTGTACAGCTTTCACATGCATATGAGGCAAATGAAAATACCATGACTTGCATTAGGCACACCTTAGTTTTCAAATAGACATCTTTGCTCTTCACCACTTTAAAGAGGTCTTTTGCAGCAAATTTGCCCAGTACAAAACATTGTCTGATTTCTTGACTACTGCTTGCTTCCATTGGTGTTGATTTTGCAAACAAGCAATATGAAATCTTTGACAACTTCAGTCTTTTCTCCATTTATCATGATGCTGCTTATTGGTCCAGTTCTAGTGTCTCTGTTTTCTTTATGTTGAGATATAATCCATACTGCAGACTGTAGTTTTTAATCTTCATCAGTAATGCTTCAAGTCATCTTCACATTCAGCAAGCAAGGTCATGTCATCTGCATATCCCAGGTTGTTAATGAGTCTTCTTCATTCCTGATGCCATGCTCTTCCTCATATAGTCCTGCTTCTTGGATTATTTGCTCAGCATACACATTGAATAAATATGGTGAAAGGATACAACTCTGACACACTCTGCTCCTGATTTTAAACCACGCAATATCCCCTTGTTCTGTGCCAGTGACAGTGTCCTGGTCTTTGCACAGGTTCCTTGTGAGTACAATTAAGTGTTCTTGAATTCCATTCTTCTCAATATTGTCCATAATTTGTTATGATCTATACAATCTAATACTTTTGCATAGTCAATAACTGGAGACACTCATTCATCTATGCCAAGAAACCTGGAAGACAGCTACCTAGCAAACTGAAGAGATCCATAATTGTACCCATTCTGAAGAAAAGTGATCCCTTTCACCAACGGTGATCCCTTTTCCAATTTCTGGTATTCTTTGTTTTCAGCCAAGATCCATCTGACATCAGCAATGATAACCCTCGTTTCTTGTCCTCTTCTGAATCCAGTTTGCATTTCTGGCAATTCCCTGTGAATAAACTACTACAACTACTTTTGAATTATCTTCAGCAAAATTTCACTTGCATGTGATATTAATGATAAAACCAAAAAACCAAACTCACTACCGTCAAGTCGGACCTGACTCATTGCGACCCCTCCTTGGGTTTCTGAGGCAGTATCACTATGAAAGTAGATCGCCTAATATTCCTTCCAAGGAGTGCTGGTGGGTTTGAACTGCCAGCTTCTGGTTAGCAGTCAGATGCCTTAGGCACTATGCCACCAGAGCTTCTGATATTAATGATATTCTTCGATAATTTCCAAATTCTGTGGG